ATTTTTTTTACTTTTAGCATGGATTAGTGTTTTGGTGAGAATCTCATTAACTACAGTAAGCCCATATTCTTTTGTCTTCTCCTTTGGAATTATAATGTACTAAAAGGCCACCAAGGTCATTGCCCTGGGTAGAACTGCTTTGAAATCATCATTGTGCTTAAAGAAACAAGTCTCTTTTCAGAATTAAATGTTTAAAAGATTTAGAACAAATAGTACAGTTATACAAAGAGTGAATGGATACTGTTTGAAGATGGCAGTTTCTTGTTTTCACACAGAGAGAAAGATATTAGCAGTGGTCAGTAATCTGATTAGTGCTCTCTTCAAATGCAGCTCTATAATAACTTCTGTCTTAATTAGCAAGAAAAAGGAGAGAACGAATGAGCACTGTGCTTTTTTTATATACTGACTAAATTGTACAGCAGGGGTGATAAACTCAAAAAGGCCAAGCTCTTCTACAATTTATCATAGGTTTTTGTTCACTTTGTTATGACTAATTGTACTTGTCCAGGAAGAATGATAGCAACTCATAAGAAAATAACTATCAAAGGTTTAGAAGTTACTGACCACTCATAATTATTTCTAGTACTTACTGCATTGTGCCTTGTGACTACATAATTGCATTAGAAATGCTGTTGTCTGCATAATATTTTAATATAGTAAAAACTACAAAACTGTGGCTTTATTTAAAATTACTCTGTCACTGAACACATGAATGTAAAAATCAGGGCACCCACTGAGCACTATGGGGTTTATTTAATAAACCTGGAGAATGCAAATGCAGGCTCACTTCTGTATAGAAACCAATGAGCATCTAACCTCAGCTTGTTCAATTAAGCTTTGGCAATAAAACCTGGAAGCTGATTGGTTTCTACAGACATGAGCTTGAGTTTGCACTCTCCAGCTTTAGTAAATAAACTTCTGTGCTCCTTATCCACCTGCCCTTAAATCACTACAGGAGATTGCAGTGACATAATAGTCAGTAGAAGGAACCATGATATAGCAAGCATCTGACACTTCTGCAATGTAGGTATAAATGTGGGCAGGGGCGGACTGACCATTTGGAAACTTGGGCACTGCCCGAGGGCCCGGGGTCTGTAGGGGGCCCCATGAGATGCCCCTGGTACCTTTTTCATAGGCTTTTTTGAGTTTGGGCAAGGACACAGGGGCCCCATGATCCCCTATTGCCCGGGGGCCCCATGAGTTGTCAGTCTGCCCCTGAATGTGGGTATAAAGATTCCTTTTTATCTTATGGAAAGAGTTAATCTAAAGCGAAAGTAGATGTTTATGTTGCTATTCCTGTCCCCAATGGGAGATATTCGCCCTACTTTTCTGTCCAGTGACAGTAATCGTCAGAGCTGGAAACAGAGAACAGACATGCAGATTGCATTTATTTAATTTATTATTTTTTAGAGGGGAGAAGGATCAGAAAATCTGACTGATTTTGTCAGTAGCCTGTGTCGCTGCTGAGAAACAATATTTGTCCCAGTACCAACCATCACCCCAGACTGGGATACAGGCTTAGTCCACCTTTTAACCATGTTTCATGTTGTGTTTTTATGTTTTTAACATGAATCTCATTCACATTTCCCACTCACCTCCACAGTCAAATTACCCAGCCCTTTCACCCACCTGAATTACAGGGTTCTTTTCCCTGCAGAATTCTATTTTATTTTGAACTAGTTTATTAACATGGTTGTGAGTAGCTCTGCCCACACAGCAGTATCATTCATTCACAGATTGATTCACATGGATCTGTAAATGGAAGACTAAAAGTACCTTCTGTTACTCTGGCAAGGGGACTTACTGTATAGATCTCAGCAGAGCATACAGTATAGTGATGTTACCAAACTTGGAGTCCATTGATTACTTCCTCCAGCCCCATAACAGTAGGTCTGTACCTCCATAACGACCTGGAACTAGGTTAAGAGTCTGCATGGGGCTGCGCATTGCAACAGCAAGGCCAGTTGCAAGGCTATGCAGGCTAAAAAAAAATCCTTTTTCTCAATGTGGGTGCATTTATTATTTTTACAAAAGGTGAACTATGCCTTTAAGGGAAGATTCTAACCCTTCCCTGTCCCTTCTAAAATTAAATGATATGGTTTTGTAGCAACTCATAACAGACTTAAAATTTGAACAGATTTGTTAGAATAATAGACAATCTTAAATTGGGAGATTTGCTTTCTTGATTTTTGAGGCCTTTCACATGAAATAATACTTATGGGAATATAGAAAGTATAAAAAACATAATTTATACTTTTGTTGCAGGCAGCACTGACAATTGTGAATATCTGTAAATATTTATATAAGATAATGCTGAATAAATATAGGTAAGAGTTGGCAAAGATATTGTTCCTTACACTTTTGTAAGCCATGGCAGAATCAGCTTCACTTTATGTCATGTAGTCATAATATATATCTTTCAACTGCCTTATTAAGTAAGCTTGGTGGTGCACTGGACAGAAAAGAAAAAATAGAGCAAGAACAATGAGAGAGAGAATCTCATTCTTGCTTAATAATGCTGCTAAATAGGGCCAGTGGGGCTTGCATTTTATGTGTGCTAGCTAGCTGAATTTAATTATTTAGTCAACAAAGGGATGCATTTTCCTGTGTTAGGTAGTCCATTACAAACTCATATACCTCCATGAGAAAGAGTGGTGGACAGATATTTGCCTGTCCTTGTCCTATCCAAATCTGAAAAAAGCACCAGAACCCCTCATCTATCTTCACCCACTGTTGTGAAAGATTATCCACCATTCACTGTGCAAAAAAGAGCACTGAGTTGCTTATAATGGCCCTTTGACTTATTATAAATGCCTGATACTTAAAAGCAATGCTCAAAATTAGAAGCTCTTGCATTTTTTGGGACACCTCAGGGAGTATTTATGGATATTAGTTTTTTGACTTACCTGCAAGAAAGTTTTCATGTTCTCCCCGTGACTGCATGGGTTTCCTCTGGGTACTTCGTTGTCCTCCCACACTCCAAAGACATGCTGGTAGGTTAATTGGCTCCTGTCTAAATTAGCCCTAGTATGTATGAATGTGAGTTAGGGACCTGGTATTGGACTCTCTTTGAGGGTTAGGGACTGATGTGAACATATATATATAATATATATATATATATATATATATATATATATGACACTATAAGTACCTGTAATTAATAATAAATAAGAAAGTGTATGTCTTGTGTATCTTCTTATATCAATGCAACTAACAGTATAAATTAACAGCTATAAAGGGAATTACTGTATTATTCTTGTGTTAGTTAAAGTATGTTGAGTGGCTTTAGCTAGCTCCATAGCAAAGCTCATACTTTATTACCATGAAAGGCAAAAATGACTGTGCATACACAGTCTGAAATAGATTTACACACGCAAGTTCTTCAAACAAAATGAAATGACCAGCTGTCAGGTAAGGTGGAGTTAAAGTGTTTGACAAGCTATTTTCTGGTGACTTGACTTAATCTCTTTTTTAGGTATCTGGAATCTGTTTTTGAATCATCCTAGGCAAAATTTAGTGTTCTTTCTTGTCATTGATCTTTATCATCCAAATGGTTCTGAATGAGCCTCTATGAAAAATTACTTTCATTGTGATACATTCCACTCACTTTTGTCTCCATTCCTCTTAATTGGATAGGCCTAAGTCATTAAATTGTGCTTTTAACTTTATGTCTCTTCTAAATAGCTACAGATTTTATCTTCACTGAAAATGCACAAAATCGATGTTGGAACAATTTTTTCTAAATAAACATTAGATTTAAATTGTATTTGAAAATTCAGGAAGTAAAATGTCTTTTTATTGTTTTTATGTGTCCCATTTAGAAATAATTTAATGAGCCAAATATAGCAAAACAAACATACCATAATTTCAAGGAGTGCATCTTTAACTTGATATTATCTCTGTGTTTTTCAGAGATTGTGAATGACATGGAGACGCAAACCAAAACAGTACTTCATTGTACTTTTTTATGTGATATAGAGATGTTCAGGTATATTTGCTTTGAACTATAGACTGTTAACTGAACAGTATAAACAATATAATTATGATTGAGTTATATTATATACATCAAATTGGATGTCTGAACACATTTAAAATACATAACCATGATTTTTTTTTATAGCATATAAGATACAAAAATAGAAAAAATGAGAGTGGGCAATATATATATATATATATATAGATATATATATTAAAAAAAACCAAACAACCCTACAATATCATATCGTTCAAGGCTTCCATTATTTGCTTCTTTGACTACCCACAGAAATAGCTGATCTCAAACATTATTTAAGCACAGTTATGCAAAGACCTGATCGTGAAAAAAAAATGCAATAATGATTTTCCATAGTAACCAAGGAATTCCTTTACTAAAGGAATAAAGCATTTTCACTTTTCATTATTTTGCTTTTGTCTATGGGTTCTTGGCAAGAAAAGTATAAATAACCTAACAAATACCCAAATACTCACTTTGCAAAGGGATTTTTCATATTTTTAAGCATTCATTTTTAAGGTATATTCAATGTTAATTTTCTACTTACTTTATTAACCTCCCTAGTGGTCTGATTATGTCCATATTTCTGTGCTCAAAGCGGTACATTTTTTTGCATGGAAATATGTATTTTTTTTATTGTAGGCCTGTAATTTTTAGGAATAACTCACTGAAATCTGTCCGAACAAGAGTCTAGTAAACATCCTGGGTATGTTACAATTTGAAACACAAAATCATAAATTATAATTTAATAAATAATCATAAAAAATAATATAATAATAATAATACATTTAATTCAATAATATAATCAAACCAAAAAAACACTGAAATTTGAAATATAGCGGCATCACTGAGCAAAAAGTCGCAGAATCGTTTTCAGTGTCTGATGACGAATTTCCCCCACGAATAATTATCACTCAATTCTGCAAGTGGTTCTAATTTACTATCGCTGTTCTGGCAGAAAGAACGGTAAAAATGCAGGCAGGGCACAGGACAAAGCACTCGGGACAAAATGTATGTGAAATAGTTTGATACAGTAAATTTACTATGTGATTTCAGTGAATTTAGTGAATGCCACTTTTTGTCATTTTCAAATTTCCCGCCAGTTCCATTCCCGTACGTCCCGACGCTCGCAGGGGACGGAACCCAGATGACAGATGCTGGCATCCGCCGGAGGACATTGCTGGGGACACTGCAGGAGGGACATCGCGGGAGCACAGGACAAGGTAAGTGATCGAGGAATCCCGGAGCAGCGCCGCATAGTATTCCCGAGTGTAGCTCGGGGTTACCGCTTGTGGTACTGAAACTTTACCCCGAGCTACACTCGGGAATACCGCCAGGGAGGCTACGGGCTAGTTCACACCAGAACACTGCGGGAAAACCCACGTTTTGTGCACTTTTCCCTCACTGTGATCAGAATGTTCTGTAGTGTGTGTCAATATTAAATTAATGACACCTCAAATGCAGGTACCATGTAATCCAGTTGCAACGAGTTTCCAAATGTAGTGCATGCAATGCAGTGTGGTGCGATGCTGTGTGTGGTGCAATGCAGTGCAATTTCATCCCATTCATTTTGAATGGGCTGAAATTGCAGCACATAGAAATGCATGCGAATTTCACAGGAATGCACATAATGTTCTTGTGTGATTCCCTGTGTGAATCAGCCCTCAATCAACATTTATGTATTAACTGAATTGATCTTGTGGGTTATAATGGGTTGCTGTGCTTTGCACACCATTATTGCTCTTTTCACTGCGCTTAGCTTATCATTAGCTTATATAGCACATCTGAGGCTATTATTATTATTATTCTTCAGGATTTATATAGCGCCAACAGTTTGCTCAGCAGTTTACAATATAACGGGAGACAATACAGCAACAATACAGTTCAATACAAGAGGGATAGGAGGGTCCTGCTCCTTGGAGCCTACAATCTAAGAGGGAGGGTATTATTATTATTATACAGGATTTATATAGCGCCAACAGTTTGCTCAGTGCTTTACAATATAAAGGGAGACAATACAGCAATGATACCATTCAATACAAGAGGGTTAGGAGGGCCCTGCTCCTTGGAGCTTGCAATCTAAGAGGGAGGGGCTGGTGGTACAAAAGGTAATGACTGTGGGGGATTAACTGATAGTAGGAATAGAAGATTCCATTATTAGCTGAAGGTGGGATAGGCTTCCCTGAAGAGATAGGTTTTCAGAGATTGCCTAAAAGTGGGCAGAGTAGGCAATAGCAGGATAGATTGGGGTAGAGAGTTCCAGAGGATGGGGAGGCTCTAGAGAAGTCTGGAGAGGAGCATGGGAGGAGACAAGGGAACTAGAGAGCAGAAGGTTGTGGGAGGAGAGGAGAGGACGGTTTGAATGATATTTTAGGACAAGATTGGTGATGTAATTTGGAGTAGAGTTATAAATGGCTTTATATGTTATTGTTAATTTTTTTTAATTGTATTTGTTGGGCAATGGGAAGCCAGTGGAGGGATTGGCAGAGAGGGGTGGCAGATATGAAACGGTTAGTAAGGTGGATAAGTAGCATTCATGATAGACTGAAGAAAAATATTAATATGTCCATTATGCACTGTTAAAGACACCTGGGAGTAGTTTTTTTGTAACACTATACATTAAGTGATCATTTTTAAAGTTCTGCCATAGTTACAAATTGCATGTTGCAGGTGGATTTAGGCAAATGATTAAATTGACAATGTATATATCCAAGAGATGTATATTAATATTACTTGAAAAAACTCATGCATATGTACAACAATGTCACACCTGAGCCTACAGAATATCTCAATTACCTATTCTAAATGTACCTAACACAGGAAAAAAACAACAACAATACATTTACAATAAATATTGTGCCATGTTGAATACATTCAATAATATTGTTTTTCTTGCTTGAATAAATCTCCCTTGTTAGTTTGCAAGATACAATGACTCATTGAGGCGCTTCCCATGATATATCCATTACAAAGACTCCGACAGCAATTAAGAATCATTGTTCTTCTGTCTCAAAAGCCTTTGCAAGAAGACTACTTGAATTACTATAGCATTTATCAAATATACAGTGGTGGGTGAATTGATCTCACACTTTGATCAATGACATGTAATGTCCCATATTATTGCTCAATTTGCATTTACATTCATTGACTTTTATTGATTAGCAACAAAGCTCTGAGTTTTTGGGATCTGACAACCTGATTGATTATGAATCAATTCTGCTCTAATTGAGTGCAGGCTGGCAAGAGAAAGTTAACAGTAATCTACAATTTCCCCAAGCAGTCTATTAAATACAAGCTGGCCCATCATTATATATTTTTAATATATAAGTAAGAATCACTTTCAGGTTATTTTCACAATTTTAACTGACATTCCAGAGTAAATAGTGAGTCTGGTTATGGTCAGAATAGAATGTAATAATGTTACAGGGCTGAGTGTGGTATAAGAGTTGCATAGAAGCTTGATTATACAGATCGATATAGACTTACACTTATCCTTCTCGCTTTTCAGAAATGACAGGCTGTCTGAAACACAGCAGGAACATGATGCTTGAGGGGTTAAGTGTTACTTGCCTTCTGGCTTCCTACATGGCCCTCTGTTCAGACACACAAAGATGAGGTGTGGGGTACATCAGTCACTTTGCTTGATGACATGATGGATTACCTTTGTCACTGACACTATAGAGAAAAAAAAATCACTGCACTGCTGATAAGCCACTCTCTATTTTTTCTTTATCACATTTTTCTTGTTACTGCATAAAGTTTTTTAGACAGCAACATAAAAGATTTGTTATGTTTGGAGATTGACAGCTTCTTATACTTACACTTACTTTTTACATATATTTTAGTGACTATTGAGGCAAAGTATTTCTTAGTTTGCTGTTTTTTTTTAATTCATTATAAACAACACAATATGAACATTACTACTGAAAGGCTTTTGACTGAAAATACATTTGTATGTCAATCATACCTTTTAACTTTCATACAAACAGTGTTTCAAACTGATTAACATAAGTTAGAACCCATGACAAAGTCACTGGGTTCACTTAAAACTAAGATTCACAGATAAAGAGTGATGCATAGTTCTTAAACTCACTATATTTTGGAAGCACATGTGGGTTTGTTGTCACATGGAAAGCCTATCCTACATTCTCTAGCATTCACTCTTGCTCAGTAAATACCTTGCACATTTCAGCAGGGGTGATGAGCATGGCACGTCTTCATATAAAAACCCAGAACACCCAAGGACTGAACCAGGGTTGAGAACAAATTCAGGTTTGGTGTAGCAGCTCTCAACCTAGCTATAGTATATTTTTGCATTTTAAGTCTTGCCTGATCATGTGATCACCATGACATGTTTGAGTTTTGCTATTTACACAGAAATAAAGAAGACAAGTACGCTGAATAATAATAATAATACTGATAATAATGTTCATAAAAACATAAAATAGTATAATAAATAAAGGTCATATATGTCCTTTAAAAACAAAGCAAAGATAATGTTGGTAACCATATAAATCATTGAGGTATTGTCAAAATAACTGCTACATACAGTACTATTGTTTATATACTAAATATGGTGTAGATTTTTAAAACATCCAAACAATCATACAATCCTGTGTACACAATTAATTCATGAAAAATTATAAATAACTGATAAACAATAATGTCCATAAAATTCTCTCATGTCACTTGTGTAATGCTCCTCTCTTATCCAACACCACTGAGTTTTCCTAAAATCAACCACAGTAGCATGAAGCGATTGTGCTCTCACCTGGATTCCATGGCCTTACATATTATGCAGGGTCATAGATAGCTTGTGTCCCATTCTGTGGACTATTATTATCCTCCTTCCACTGTAAACGGTACTCTTCCCTTTAAAGCACTCTCCAGATTTCTCATCTGCTCAGTAACACACAAAAGTAAATGTTAAAATAGTGCTTTGTACAGATTTTTTGATTTTTAGTTTGCTACTAAGTGAATTTTAGGCTCAGTAGGCTGGTCCCTCCCACTTTTTACTTGTTCCTGCCCATCCAAGGGGCAGTGCTCTGGGTCCTCATGTCATGTATGAGAATATAAATTCAGTCAAAGATACTTGCATAGTGTGGCTCTAAGGAAGGTGTTGCCTTCAAAACGCACCAGCCATTTAGGATCCCAGTGTGGTCCCCCTGCACTCTGGAGTGCGTTAAGTCAAGGACCACTGGGCTACAAATGAGTAGCTTGATGAGCAATTTGAATTCACATGTTTGTGGATACAATATATGTTCATTTTAAATAAATGCTGTGAGATAACGCACTATGCTGGTGAGTTCTCTTTTGTTCATTTTTGTTGTCCTTTATATGTGTCTGCTTTTGACCAGCCTCCTTTTGTTGTCCTTTATATGTGTCTGCTTTTGACCAGCCTCCTTTGTTGTCCTTTATATGTGTCTGATTTTAACCAGCCTCCTACCCCCTATGGCTTCGCCCATCATCCATGCAAAATCATTGACATTCTGGTGGGCCACTCTCTCCCACATCACCACTGTCACTTCTGGGAACACATACATGGAAAAGACATTCTCGCTAATGTCCACCCCCAACAGAAACAAGGCACCAACAAGGACAGCATCTCCTATCCCATATTAACATAAATAAAGGTACATTTGTATCATTCAACCAGCAAAATATAGCAATAAGCTCAATACTATCACAAGCAACACCTTATAAATGTCCCCGGCATTACAACCATGGTTAACATATCTAGTTGCATTGTCCTTCTAAGCAACACAAACTATTTAAACATCAATGTGTTCCACTTGTATGGCAAAGTGGCTATATAAAGGGCACTGACCAGCTTAGCAGATATAAAGCACAATAAATCAAATCCATGACAGGGTTGTAATCGAAGCACCGCAGCGATCACCAAGCCCACTTGCAAGACAAAAAATCAAACACACCTAAAAAACATGCGAACCTGAGAAAATTCAGATAAACACCCAAAAAAATGCTACCCCCAAAAAAATCAAATAAACACCTGAGAGACATGCTAACTCAAAAAGAAAATCCCCCCCCCCCCCCCCCCCCCCCCCCCCCCAGCCCTCATGACCTGTCTAAGTTCCACCAGATCAAACACATACATTCATTACAATCCATTATCAATACAATCAACCACATTGTTCTACATATCCACTATATTGCCAAAAGTATTGGGACGCCTGCCTTTACACGCACATGAACTTTAATGGCATCCCAATCTTAGTCCGTAGGGTTCAATATTGAGTTGGCCCACCATTTGCAGCTATAACAGCTTCAACTCTTCTGGGAAGGCTGTCCACAAGGTTTAAGAGGGTGTTTATGGTAATGTTTGACT